TGAGTGTTTTCAGCCTCCATACCCACCAGTCTGTCATCAAGGCTGGATGTGGAGACATAAAAAGGTGTAGCTCTGTGACGGGTGTGTGTGAGCGTTTACAGTCAGCCTGTCCACGATAACATCACAACAACGCATGACGCCAGGGCTGGGCTGTGGACGCAAAGATGAAAAACCTGATTAGGTTTCACGTAATGGTACATTTTTAATGGATCTGGAACTCCCAAAGGGTTATTTTTATCCACTGAATAAATGTTCTCTCTTAACAGCTGCGGTCAGTCGACTCTGTGAAATTGCAGCTGATTTCTTCCTCCACTTGAACAAAAAAAAAAAAATAAATAAAAAAGACAGGAACATAGCAGACAGAAAATGTGTTTTTTTTTCCAACTCCCAAGTTGCAATGAAGGGGTTTTTATAACCGACTTTATGAACATTTTGTTCTGCCGTGGTAGAAGTTTGTTGGCCGGAGCTTCATCCATGATAAACACTCGCTTTTTTATACAGTGAAAGATGATACTGCGTAGCTTCTGCTTTAGCACTGATTCAGCAAACATAGACCAGACACATTAAAACATAAAATAATGGTGTAGCCTACTGTCTAAAACCTCAGAAAGTAAAGTAATTATAGACTCACCTGATGCTAAGAGTCTTACTGCTGTATCCTTTCTTCAAATTTTAATTTTAGCTGTTTTTAACTGACTCTAATCTGCTTTCTCTTCCCAAATAAAGGAAAGAATCCCCAAACCATAATGCCAGCACCACCATGTGTCACTCTCATATCAGTTTTTCTCCAAACGTAGTTTTACAGATAGGCAGAAAAGCTTAGATTTAATCACAGAACCTTCTTCCCCATGTTTGCCGGTTTCTAACCTCAAACAGGATGTTATATAGCTTCCATGCAATGATACTAGGAGTGCAGGGTTACTAGTAATCTTACCAACCACCTCTAACACCTCAGCTGTACATTTATACTGCTCTTCTAGATTACCATGTGCCTCTTAGCTGCACTTAGGAATAAAAAGCTGTACGGTTAACTTACGCCAGCTTTGCAGCACATTTAGAGGTATGGGGTAAGATAAGTGCCAAAAATATGACTAAGACTTAGACTTAGATTTATTTTGTATACACAAGTGTATACAAAAAGAAAGTTTGTTTAGAACAATTTCATTTTTAAAGTGCAGCCTTGATAATGTAAGCAGCAGTTGTTGTTGAGCTGCTACTACTGCCTCCAGCTCCTGAAGCACTCGCTTCTCCTTGCTCAGGGGAGGAAGAGGACGATGATGACGATGCTGTGCGGGTGGTAGCCCTCTGGGTTGAAGGGGCTGATGTGGTTGAAGCAGCAGTAGTGCCATCGGCAGGTTTAGCAGCGATAGACGATGCTAGAGAAGGTGTGGAAGCCGGAAGGAGCCTGCTGGGGAGGGTTCAGTATTTGGCAGGGAAGCATCTGGAGCGACCTCCTCATTTTCACCTGCAGAGGGCTGTGCTTCCTTCCTAGATGCTGAAAATTGCCCGGGAACAGTCTCAGAGAAGTTTTCATTCACGCAGAGCTCTTTGTTTTCTATCAGCGCGGTACAGCTTCAGCCCCCCCAGGCCTACAGCACCGTCCGGTACTGCTGGACGCAGCCAAAACCCTGTCAGAATGATGGCGCAGCAGTTACATAGCTCCTTTGTTGAAGTGAGTTCGAGTCGGAGATTATCCATTTTGTTTTCCAACAAGCAGACGTTGGAGAGCAGGATTGATGGAAGCGGCGGTCTGTGGGGATTTCTCTTTAGCTTCGCAGTTAGCCCCCCTCTGCAGCCTCAATTTCTCAGACTTGCGCATCTCTTCCTCCGTCAGTTATTTTCCGCTGTTGTTTTGTCCACATTCGTCCGTAGCACTCCGCAGCTTTTTAAACTGTCAAAAATGTCAGTATTTAAACACTTTTGTGACCGTAGCTCAAGCATAGATGTCGGTTTGACGTTTTAAACGGCATATTTTGAGAAATTTTTCGAGAGGAGCTGCTCTTGGCCCCTGCCTTGGAGCGCCGCCATATATATAGATTTGTATTTATATATAATAAATATGTATCCTGTTTGTTAATGTAAAAGTTAATGAACAGGAATAAAATTAAGATTTGTGTTATTTCTTTGTTGTAAGATCATACTTATATAACAGCAGATGTTTCATCTGGAGTAATAAAATACATCTTTGCAAAACTACCAGTGCAAATCACAAATGAATACTTCAGCGACTTCTGATGAAGCTGCTACATTCCTTACAGTTGGTGGCGGTAATGCATCTGAAGGCTATTTGTGAGAAGATGAAAAAAGACGAACTGAGTTTTAGTTTTGCTGAAATATTGGCTAATTATATTATGATATACCTCAGCTTATAGCTCCTGTTTCTAGCTGCTGTTTCTTCACATTTCTTGCGGTCAACAGTTAGAATTCTATCCAGGGTGGGAATGAAGTTATGGACTGTTTTGGTGATTCTGAACAAGCTCCAGCCTTGTGGATATCATTACAGAACAGACACACAAATGAATGATGCTGGTAAAAGTGGGATTAGAGGCTGCTAGGAAAAAAACAAAAGTTGTATAAATGTAGGAAACGGATGAATCTCTCTGTTATGAAACTCAGAATATATGAAGATGAGGACATTTGCATGTGTCACACAGAATTAATTTCCTTAAATAATGTATTTTTGTTGAACTTGGTAAGATAGGATAAGCTATTATCATGTGTCACGCAAGGCTAGGAATGTTAGGAGGTCCCTATGCTAACTGCATGAGCTCTAGGAAGCACACTGCTTCCAAATCCTAGCTCCTTCCAAACTGCCGTCACTATTCGGACACGACTTATTATGACAACTGCAGACCCACTTCTGCCGTATCTTTAGTGTCCTTATCAATTCAAGGTATTCTTAATGAGAGGTTGTTTTCAATGCCTACACAGCATAATGTTCAATCGATAATTCTGTTTTTGTCTTCTTCCTGTTATTCTCGTTAAAAGGTGCATAGGTGCACTACTACAACCAGCTGTTAAGGAGTGCCCCAGCTTGCAAAACTTGTAGTTTTGCAAAGTTTAACTTTTAAACTTGTATTTTCACAGATGAAACATCTGATGTCACATATTTATGAGTTGACAACAAAGAACTAAAATCCTAATATTATTCCCATTTATTGACTCATGCAAAAGTTCAAATACCTGCATGCATTTTTATCAACAGTTACCTCAGATTATACAAGCTACTTTGTTATTTTAACCCATAAAGTCCTACGAAGTCAAGAGTTGAACATGCTGGGATTCTAATAACAAGTTCAGTTACAGATATCATTAACAAGAATCTTTATTTTGTGGCCAGATCAGCAGCCGTTGGGAACAGAAGGCTGGTCTATGGATCCACAAACTGGCTTACTATGCATACAGGGCAGCATTAAGCCTCCATTAGGACATCCAAGCGTCTCTTTTTCTCTCTGAAACCCTGCATGACACCACCGACTCGAGTTTCCTCCCTGAAACCGAGACTCTCCAGACTGAGATCCACACACACCGACATGCAGGAAACACACCCTCCAAAAAATGTGCAACAGAGCTGACAGACCTAAGCCCTTTACACTAAAATTCCCATTGGATGAAATCCTAACTTCTGCAAAGTTCTACTCAATTAATGCATCCTTCCTCCATTTTCAAAAGGAACAAAACAGAAATCCCTGTGCAGATTTTGCATCCTAAGCTTTGCTGAAAATGTCCTTTTTTTAATGCAACACAAACATGTATTAGATGTGTTATGCAAGATCTCCATCTCCTTAGTCATACATTCTTAGCATGCATTAAAAACCTACTGACACTTTACTTTTCCTTCCTAATTAGTCTACAGGAAATCAGTATTGCAAAATTGTAATACCATATTAGCAGAGGCGGAGCTAGATGGGGGGCCAGGGTCGGCCATGGCCACCCCTACCATTTTTTTCTCTCAAATAGAATATTCAAAACATTTCAATTTTATATACGGTATATTAACAATTACTGGTTAATTATGTACATCCATATACCAACATTAGAGATAATTAGTACAGAAGTCATGCTCTTTCAGAACTAGATTTTGCTTTATATGCCGTAAAGAGAAAATAATGTGTCTCTTCAGTGAACTAATAGATACTGTAAATAACTATTTTAACAAAAAAAGTATTGAATTATCAATTTATGTAGATATTAGTACTTTTAAATATCAATTTAATGTAGAATGATATTGATAAAAGTAGGTAAGTAATGACGATGGAAAAAATGTTCGCTCCAGAACTCAAACCTCAAAGAATTTTATCCATATAGCTTTTATCTAGACAGATGTTTAAATATATGCATCTATTTGTTAGCAAAGGCTGCAGGAAACTATAGTTTGTGTTTATTTAGGAAATATGGATGTTGTGTTTGTTCCTGTTGGAACACTGTAGATTGACACTAAGGTTCTGGTGACTATACACTTTTGGCCACCCCTTAGGATACATTGGTTATTGCCTGGCCACCCTTATAATTTTTTTTTTTTTTTGGCTATGCCTCTGTGTATTAGCAACTAAATAGTAAATCAGGGAAGCTTATTCCTTAAAAAATAATAAATTATTATTAAAATATTCTTTATGATAAAAGCTTAAAAACTCTACACACCATCAGTTCAAACTAGGACAGATTGAAGGATCTAATCCCTGCAGACTGATCAGAGATTTCTCATGGTGTAAAAACCCAGGCAATGAGACATTCAAGGTAAAAGCTTAATATAAGAACACAGATGGAGGCAGGTGCAGGTTCAAGCATGTGTTTCTGTGTAGAAAACACTTGGAAGAGGCGAGCGCTTTGCAGCTGCAGCCCTGCCTGATGACTTCCCAGCAGAGTGATAGGACATTACCAAATGAGGTAAGAGGCTGGCTGGACAAAGCAGGTGACGCTCAGAAAACACAGAGGAATAAACTGCTCGCTCTCACACCCATGCGTCTGTTATATTTAGCAGGATAAATCAGCGGACTTACTGCGATACAGATGATGAAGTCCTCTCTCAATGTCTTGGTGCTCAGAAGGAAATGTCACATTAATTGTTCCGCGTCTGAGCTCGTAAATCAGATATTAAACCACGTAATAGAAATAGCGGAGGAAAACGAGGATTTTTTTTAATCTGTTTTCCTTTTTTTTTCCCCCAGCAGTGAAATAAGTGAAGCTTTAAAGGTATTTGTAGCCCCGGTGCGTTATGTTAGAGAGCAGCCTGTCCGTGTTGCGCTGTCCTTTGTTGTGAGCATCTCAACGTAAACACTGAGCGGAGTCCTTCCCTGCCTCTGTGAGCGTGCGCGTCAGGAGGACGCGCCCGCGAAGCATGCTGGGAGTTGGAGTGTTCTCTGCTTTTCAAGCGACGTGCCTCCAGCCGCGTTAAATTACACTGAATTTAATGTAGAAAGCTTCATTTTTATAAAGATAAAAATAATTTGAGACTCTTTCAGTGAAGATTTGCTGCTGAGCCAAATTAATCTTGTAAGATTCAAAAATAAAAAAATCATTATTGTCATTATGAGGCCACATTATTGTTATACATTTTGCTCATATTTCACATTTCAGGTAAAATCAAAACACTTTGTAGATGAATGAGCATTTTTCTATTTTTTTGGAAGTCTTTAAAAAGTCCTTTCTGTCAAAAAGGGAGTTTTCCTCTCCACTGTCACTGCAAGCATGCTTGGTGTGATGGATTGCTGTTGCGTCAATGAGTCGATACAACCAACTGGTTTTGTATCGTCTGGTTGAAATGTCTATAGAAAGTGCCTTGAGGTTTGAATTGGTGCTATATAAATAAATTTAATTTAATTTAAATAAGAAAAAAAAAATAGGCATGTTATGAGGAAAGTGGAGTAGCTTACTTATAGTAGATGAAAATCATTAGAACAGTATAGTAGACTATATTTACATAGAACACAGGCGTAACTTTCTGAAGGACTGGTGTGGGACATGTCCCCACCAATAATTTCAAAACACAGATTTGTCAATATGTGGGACAAAATTCTACATTAGATTTTATTTGCTTTTAAAGGAGGATAATCACAAATGTAGCTGAAAGCGAAAACATCCATGAATCAATCCATATTTTTCTGGACGGATTGATGGATGGATGAATAAAACTGAAATTGGCATCGTAATCGGCTGCTATTCATCCTTTTATTATACATTAATGTCTCACTACCTATAAATATAAATATCAATGCATTTTGAGCTAATTTTTGAAAGAAAAAAAAAACCCTATTGAAAGCGTTTGTGTTGAGTAACTGTATGTCCATCAGCCCCCACCCTAAGAGTATCCCCATCAACTTTCCTCACAAAGTTACACCCATAAAGCGCTGCTCATGCTAGCGCAGACTACAGGGGGGGGGCGATTGCCTTCACAACCTGGGGAATTAAAGAAACTAAAGCAAAGTCTCTAAAGCATCACTGCTTAACTTTTGACCTAATTACTAGCCTAATTTGCAACAACTTTATTGGGTTAACTCCCATAAACATAGGAGCTAACCCAATAAAGTTGTTGCTAGGCAACATGACAATTATCTAATCATTTGGTTCTTTGATTTAGGGTTTTATCCAGAGGGATGGGTGTGGTCTTGTCTTTAAAACTCCATGACTTCTCATTCTGCTGGTCCCAAGTGGTCTGCTGTCAGATAGCTCCTGTATCACATTACCCCACTGACACAAAGCATGTTTTAACAGTAGAAGTTCACAAATATCTGGAAAGAGATTCCAGATCCAAAACAGTAGATGATTTGACTTCCTAAAAAAAAACAAGAGCTATTGTTGGACCTTCTTCACAAGCTGGGAGGAGTTTTAGAGAAGGTCTGAGGAGATGTGAATTGCCCAGGAACTTTTTAACTGTTCACACCCTCAGT